TAAAACAATAAATAATAAATATGTACCGTATTCTTCTTCATGGAAAAATAAGATATCACCTGAAAATAAGATCTCCCGCATCTTTGGGAGCAAAAATTAATATAAGACACTGTCTTATTTTCGGGGAAACAGGGTAGACGTATATTCACCTGCTTTACCTTCCCTGATGTTCAGACTTTACTAACGTTCCCTCCTTCCTGAGTCAGTCTGTCTTCAGCCAGTGTTCCTGTGACCCCTGTGTGTATGGCATTAACGCTGGAGTGTGTTTGGGGAGTACCTTGGCGGTACCATGGTTAAGCACTTGACTGTGAGCCCAAAGGCTGAAAGGTCAACCTTGGAAACCATATGGAGCAGCTCTGCTTTGCACGCACGGGATCGCCGGGAAAGTAGGAGTCGGCCTCGCCTCAGTAGCAACTAACTGTACCCACCCACCTTTCTGGAGCTGGGCAGACTGACCAGATGCTGTGCTGTCACGACCGGGCATTTGGGGTGGCAAGCGTGAAAGCAGGGCCCCGGCCAGCCCTGTGTCAGAGAGCAAGCAGAGGGAGCACCCAGAATGCGTGGCGGAGGGTGGTAGGGGTGGGGCTGGAAGTGGCACCTTTAGGGGACGGGGTGGTGATTCCTGGACAGTGTTTGACTGATGCTTTGGGCTGACCCTAAATCTGAGCTGCCCTGAGTGATAGTTGTGGGTCTGAAGAAAAGGCAGACCTTGGGTGAGCAGCCCCTTCATTCCCTGCCCCAGTTATGCATCAGGATGGTATTGGGTGTCCTCGGCATAAGCCTTGGAGTCTTCTCTGAGTAAGCGAGCCCTTCTCTTCTCAGCTCGGCCGTGGCTCACTTGGAGTACAGGTATGCAGGAAGAGGAGATGGCCCAAAGAATGAGAATCAAGGCAGGAAACCCCTCTATTAGTGTGCTGAGCTGAAGGGCCTCCCCACCCTCCTGCTCTTTTGTGTTTTCTATTAAGGGAGTGTCTTTCCAGCCTCCTTCCCCTTTCAGACACGACCCGCCCGTGAAGACCCAATTAGGAGCCAAACCACACTCAAGTTCCATGGAGTCCATTTGGACTTGCGGTGGTCCTGTGAGACACAGTAGAACTGCCCCTGTGTGTTTCTGAAACTGTAACTCTTTACGGGAGTAGAAAGCCTCATTTTTCTGTCAAGAAGCTGCTGGTGGTTTTGAACTGTTGACCTTGTGGATTGCAGCCCAACACATAACTATGCCACCAGGCTCCTTTAAAGACCCAGTACCAGGCTCAGTTCCTCCTGGGATCCTCCTTTGGTGTCCTACCCTTTCTGGTCCCCCTTCCTGGGCCCAATTCTAGCATCTACTGCCTAGAGCCCATAATATAGACAGGAATTAGAAAAGCTTTTTTTCCTGCTGGTTACAATGATGCTTCCTTCGTGTCAGCACTAGCTGGTAAATAGACTATACATCTCTCAAGTTCAGGAACCAAATTTTCAAGGTTTCTGAAACTGTCAAATCACTCAGCTGGGTACATAAGGGACTACTCAACAACTGGGAAAGTGACCAGGGACTGTGTCTTGAGCTTAGAGATCTGGAAGAGTTGGCTGCCTTTTACTCGTCTGTCCGTCCATCCATCCATCCATCCATCCATCCATCCATCCATCCATCCATCATCCATCCATCTGATACCCAGAGCAGAGCGTATTGTATAAAGTGTGATTTGTGCTTACATGGACCATATCTTTTGAGTAAGAACAGGAAGATTATAAATAACCGTTATTGCTTGCACACTGTCCTGGGTGCTTGGTAGGTGATCTCTCTTTCCCTTTTCCTGTGAGCCCCCAAGCTTGGGTGGGAAGCATGAAAGTGTTCTCCCCATTTTATTGTTGAATAAAGAGGTCCCCGGGAGAGCCACAGCCGAGGTTAAGTCCAGGAGCATTGGACTGTTTCTCCAGCCTGGGCTGAGGCTGAATTCCATGAACGTGAGACCCAGCCATCACTGGCCTTGTCTGAGAGTGCTTAAGCTCAACTTCCCCTCCAATTCAAACACACTGTGATTCCTTCAGCTGCCAGGGGGCTGGGTGGGGTGGAAAGCTTATGAATAGCGCTGCCCTTGTGCCTCTGGGTGTCAGTTGGGCTGCTTGAGCTGGGTTCAAGATGGCTGTGGTGCGCTGAAGCCTTGGTGGAGGGCGACCCCCTCAAGGGCATCCGAGGACAGCACTCTGTGTGAAGGACATCCTGACTTCGGCAGAGCATGGGTGATCCCTCTCCTACTGTGCCCTGGAGGAGCCTGGCTGAGTTGGAGTAGTGTGGGGCTGCTCAGGGTGCTGGCCCAGGAATGGCCTTGATGTCGAAGTGATTGGCTGGCTTTAATTCAAGGTGACTCTCTAGGGCAGCGGTTCTCAACCTGTGGGTCGTGACCCCTTTGGGGGTTGAACGACCCTTTCACAGGAGTCACCTGATTCATAACAGTAGCAAAATTATAGTGATGAAGTAGCAATGAAAATAATGTTATGGTTGGGGGTCACCACCACATGAGAAACTGTATGAAAAGGTCGCGGCCTTAGGAAGGTTGAGGCCTTTGCTCTAGGGAGTTGGCCCGCCTACCTACCTCAGCACACCTGACACCACACGTCTCTTTCCTAGAAATCTGAAGAGATTTCACTACTGTGATCCGCAGGAGCTCCCAGCTCCCTGGAGGAGGCTGGCAGGCCCCCACCCCCTGTCCCCTGTTCCATGGCCAATAGGAAGCTGGCCCACTGAGGCTAGATGAGGAGAATGAGACCCCTGAGCTTTCCCTCCCTCACTGCCCAGTGTCCCCGCAACCTGGCCTTGGTTTTGCTCTTTGTTTTTCTCTGTCCCAGAGATCCCCTTCCTCCCTGGCTCCCCACGCCGGCTGAGCCCTCAGGCAGGAGCCAGCGGCGGCCTGAGGCCCAAGCACGGACAGCAATATCTCAAGGTGCAGGCATCTAGAACCCCAGGACCGCGGGGTAGCAGTTCCCACCGAGATGCTGGCCAGCTTCCCCGGGTGGACAGCTCACACGGCAGCTCTGTAAGTACTGGGGGTGGGGTGGGGGGAGAGAGTGTGTGTAGGGTCTGCTTGGATGGAAGACCCAAGGGAACCTCTAGTTTGGGGACCCTCCAGCTGGAGGACTTGTGTGTGTGCGCAACAGGCTCTGGCCTTCTGTTAGGGCATTTTCTCTTCTCTCTCTTAAGTCATGAACGATTTTCTAGTGTGTTGCCTAGTCAGGGGTGGCTCAGGAAAGGAGGAGGCCTGCTCACAGGCCTGAGAAGCCAGTCTCCTGTGCTGCGGTGGCTCTGAGTCCCTTGTGCCATCTGGTTGCCCGGGTGACCTCTCAGGTGGCTGCAGAGGCAGCTGGGTATCAAACCAGTAATAAACAGGGAAACACCCAGAGGGAGGCAGGTCCCTCCTTGTGCCTTGTGCCTTCTCCTCCGCTTGTGGCGGCCACCCCTTCCCTGGGAGCCAGGAGAGCAGCAGACACGTCTCCCACTCTCATCTCTGGCTAGGGCCTCACCTGTGGCTGGAGAAGGGGAGCAAGAGGACCATGCGGGGCTGCGAGGGGCTCTGTGGATAACAGAGTCTTGTGGGGTGGGAGGGAGGGGGGTGGGCCAGGTGACGAGGACTTGTCCCTTGTCCCAATGGACCCAGAGAACCTGCCAGTAAGTACTGTCCGAGTCTACCTGTGTCGAGTACATGCAGGCTCATCTGCAGATAGGCAGGGAGGGCATCCGTGTGGCGGGGCCCAATGCGGGCAGAAGAGGGCTGTGTGTCTATGGGAGCGCACCTGGGCACCTGCAGGAGGTGTGCAGGATGGGAACATCTGGGGCCGGGTGAGCATCTTGCAGGCGTTTCCGTGTGTGCGTGGCTAGAAGTGGGTGTGTGGTTGTGTGTGAGAGGTGGGTGGCCTGGCCCGTGCAGGGTGGTATCTATGGATGTATGTGCATGGACCTCAGGTCCCGTGGAAAATTTCAGAGGCTTGGGCTGCTTTGGACAAAGGGGTGGAGGCTGTGTGTGACTGGCGAACATGGGCCACTTTGTCCATTCTTAAGGACAGTGAGCTTGGGGGCGCTTCCTTTCTGTGTCACTGGGCCTGGTCTCAGAGCATGGGGTCAACCTCTTCTGAGGTCCCTCTTCCTCACTGGGTCTCCCCATTGCCTGTCATGCTCTCTCTGGCCAGGTCATCAACAATTACCTGGATGCCAACGAGCCCCTGTCCTCCGAGGCCCGGATGAGCCGAATGCACTTCTACGACAACCAGAGGAAGGTCGACTACGTGCTCGCTTATCACTACCGGAAACGTGGGGCGCACACTGGCCACGGCTCCCCCGGCCATGCACTCGCTATTGTCTCCAATGGGGAGACGGGCAAGGACCCCCATGCTGGCGACATTGAGCTGGGGCCGCTCGATGCCCAGGAGGAGGAGAGGAAGGAGCAGCGGGAGGAGTTTGAGCACAACCTGATGGAGGCCGGGCTGGAGCTGGAGAAGGATGTGGAGGTGAGGCTGCAGGGCTGGCAGGACTGGACCACGCAGAGCCGGGCTCCTGGAGAGTGGGGCTTACCTGCAGGGAGCGTGGCTTTGCTCTGCACGGGCAGTGTTCTCTGGTCGGGAAGCCAGCTGTCTTGCTGGAGGACGTTAGGCAGAGTCTTGGTATTGCTGGAGCGTCTGCCTGGGGGCGTCTGGAGAGTGGGCATGGGCAGTGGTTCTGTGGTAGTTGGCGAGCTAGGAATGGACCTTTCTTTCGGACTCTCAGGTTTCATCCAGGGGTCCTCTCCATAAGGGTTTCCTGTTGGATCAAAATTCCTGCGCAGGACTCTAGTTCACTCAGGAGTGGTGTTTGCCTGGGGCTCCTCGTGGGGCCGATGATGAGCACCCCTTATGGGGACATACATCAAATGGGTTATGAGAATGTGAGCCGCACAAGGATCGGTCAAAAAGCATATCACTTTTCACATGCAGGGTTTATTCCAAATGAAATATGTGTAAATAGACAAATCTTCTCAGCCATATGCTCATCTTCATCTCCTTAGGGTGCCTTTAAAAAAAAAAAGATCTAATCAAACCAGACTTGTAAGGGGCTCTGCTGGGCCAGATAAATTCAAAGCAGAAGACTCAGTTCAGAAGGCTACAGCATTGTGGGGGGATTCCCAAGAGATTGTCTTGACAGATCCCCCCCCCCCAAAGGACCCAGGATGATAGTGGGAGCTTATTAGGAAGAAGTTGGAAGAAAACAGAAACTTGCATGGGTGAGGGGCAAGTCAGGACAGTGTCTCATTCATGACAACGTACCTGCTCATTCTTTAAGGATCGCACGGGCTGTCTTAGGAGAATGTCACTGGAGAGCCTTACCCATCTACCCTAGCCCCGATTCTGCCCCTATAGACTGGTTTGTTCCCCAAACTCAAAGAACATTTAAGAGGATCCTGTCTGAGTCCCTTGAGGATCCCAAACTGCTGTCTTTTTTTAAAATCGTATTATTAGGTGCTCATACAACTCTTATCACAATCCATACTTACATCAATTGTGTAAAGCACATTTGTACATTCATTACCCTCATCATTCTCAAAACATTTGCTCTCCACTTAAGCCCCTGGCATCAGTTCCTCATTTCCCCCCCTTCCCATTGCCCCCTCCCTCATGAACCCTTGATAATTTATAAATTATTATTTTGTGGTATCTTGCCCTGTCCAACGTCTCCCTTCACCCACTTTTCTGTTGTCCATCCCCCAGGGAGGAGGTTATATGTAGATCCTTGTAATCGGTTCCCCCTTTCCAAACCACCCGCCCTCTACCCTCCCAGTATCACCACTCACACCACTGGTCCTGAAGAGATCATCCTCCCTGAATTCCCTGTGTTTCCGGTTCCTATCTGTACCAGTGTACATCCTCTGGTCTAGCCAGACTTGCAAGGTAGAATTCGGATCATGATATTGGGGTGTGGGGTGGGGGGAGGAAGCATTTAGGAGCTCGAGGAAAGTTGTATTTCTCATCATTGCTACATCGCACCCTGACTGGCTTGTCTCCTCCCTGAGACCTTTCTGTGAGGGGATCTCCAGTGGTGTACAAATGGGCTTTGGGTCTCCACTCTGCACTCCGCCCCCCTCATTCACTATGATAAGATTTTTTTGTTCTGGTGATGCCTGATACCTGATCCCTTTGACACCTCGTCCAAACTGCTGTCTTAATGTGGTATAAGTCGAAGCATGCAGCATTCTTTGGGGGAAGGGCTAGAAGGATAGACCAAGACTGAGGGTATGCTGAGAAACAGTAGCTTCAGATGTTGACCATGTTGTTTGATAAAGATTTCTTTGATTTTGCAGCAACCCTTAAAAAAAGCAACAATAACTTTGCTGTGACTTAGGGGGCGGTTTGAAGATTAGGTCATCGTTTTTTTTGTATTCAGCAATTTATTAAACCTCCCAAATGACTTCCCTGGTTTCCATCAGTTCATTCCCACCCCCACCCCCCATCCCTTGTTGGATATTATCATCCCCTTTACCCAAGTTAACAACCGTTTCCCCTCTAGCCTATTCCCCACCCCACCCCCTTCCTCTCACACTTCGTGTCACCATTAACGTCTGTTTCCTTTAGTGTGAACGCCTTTTCTTTCTTTCTCTCTCTCTCTTTTTAAAATAACAGCGGTACCTTGCAGCTTTTGCCCTTTGGGGATCGTCTAATTTCACTCAACATAATGTCCTTTAATTGCACCTGCGTCAAGAGGGGTTCACAGACTCTTTGTTGCTCTTTCATAGCGTGTAGAATTCCACGTTGTGTGTGCAGAGTTCACCCAGCCATTCTTCCACCGACGGACACTTACGTTGTTTCCCTTCTTGCCCTTGCGTGGGGTGCTGCCATGACATGGTGCCAATCCATTGGCCGACGCTACGGTTCTCATTCCTGTGAAGCACGTCCGCATAGTAGGGTTGCTGGGTCCCAGTCTGTTCTCAACTTTTTGAGGCAGCCCCATACTGTTTTCCACAGAGGTTGTACTGTCCCACCAGCAGTATAGGAGGGTTCAAATCTCTTTATCTTATCCAGTATTTATTTTCTGGTTTTTAAAAAGTTTTTTAATAATGCCATCAATGCTGAGGTGAGGTGAAGTGCTTTGATTTCCATCTCTTGGATAGTTAATGACCCCAAGCATTTCTTGCCATGTTTGTTGGTCTCCTGACTCTGCTTGGTGAACTGTCTGGGTCTGTCCTCTGCCCATTTTAAAATCCGGTTATTTGTCTTTTTCTTGTTGAGGTGTTGAAGTTTGCTACAGATGTTAGGCAGTCGTCCCTTGTCTGAGGTGTCACTGCAAAAGTGGTTATTCCCCCAGGCTGTGGTTCTGTGTTTTATACTTTTGACGAAAACTTTTAATGCGTATGTGTGTCTGATGTCCAGGAGGATTCAGTTGTCTGTGTTATCCTCTGCTGGTGTGTATGGGTTTGTTACGTTCCGCAGTGTGTCTGTCCCATGTATTAGGCATTCTAAGGTTACCTCTATTTTTTCATGGATGATATTTTCTACGTTTAATCCATCTTGTGTTGGTTTGTGTACGCGCCCTCGGGTGGAGGGCCTCTTTCAGTCTTCTGAGCGTGGCACTCCAAGTTTGCAGCAGTGTTTGTGCAGAGATGCTCTCTTCTTCCATGGGATGGGTTTCAGCGCTGGGTCAAAACCAGGTGGTTTCTGGATTCTCTATTATGTTCCGTTTTCTACTTGTCTCTTCTTGTACCAGTCCAGGCTGCTTTGACTACTGAGGCTGTGTAGTAGGTCTTGAAATTGGAAAGTGATTTCTTCTTTAGTAGTGCTTTGCTTATTTGAGGTGTCTTTCCTTTTCTTATAAAATTGGTAATTCACTTTTCCATCTTGTTCAAGACCAATACTTAAATCTGCATTAGAATTATTTTATATTTATTGATTGTTTGGGTGGTAGTATTGACATATTCATAATGTTAACTCTTCCTATCCCTGGGAATGGTATATTTTTCCAGTTATGTAAGTCTCTTATAGTAGTAGTTTATAGTTTTCCTTGTATGAGTCTTTTGTTTCTCCTAGGTTTGTTTAATATGTAGGTTTATTCCTAAGAATTTCATTTTTTGGATGGCTCTGGTAAATATATTTTCTTGGTTTCTTTTCAGAACTTTCTTCATTAGTATACAGGAATCTCATTGGATTTTGTACCTGAGACATTATTGAATCTTTCAGATTAATTCCAACAGTTTTCTTGTTGAGTCTTTGGGCTTTTCTATAAAAATAATTATATCATCTGCAAATATAGAGAGCTTTGTTTCTTCTTTACCAATTTGGATGCCTTTGATTTCTTTTTGTTGTCTCTCTTGCTAAGACTTCAGCTTAATATTGAATAAATAAGAGTGGTGATCAAAGACATCCTTATCTGGTTCCTGTTGGCAAGGGGAATGCAGCAATAATTTTTGACTTAGCCTCATATATACTGTCAGCCCTAATTGGCTGTCAGACTAAGGGAAGCCCTGGAAATTCATTCCTTTACACACCTGTATATCAGTTTAACCATATGTCATCCATCCATCCATCCATTGACTTACCTATCCATTTCTCTATGCCACAGCAATCCTTTAAAAATGACTTGACCCTCCCCAGCATCTCCTCCAAATTCATCTCCGACCCTTTCTACCCTGCTGCAACATGCTCCAGATCACTGACCTCTCCTCACTTCCGGGCCATTCTCCCCCAAGGACCTTTGCACTGGTTGCTGCTCTGCCTGTGTCCTTCTTCCCCAGACCTGGCATGCTCCCTCCCTCACTGCAGACCTCTGCTCACTGTTGCCTTCTGTCAGGTGTCTCCCCCGACCATTCCGGCCACACAATTTCCACCCTGCCACATGTTGCTCTCTATCCCTTCTCCCTCTCTGACTATTTTAAAAAATCATTTTATTGGGGGCTCGTACAACCCTTATCACAATCCATCCATCCATCCGCTGTGTCAAGCACATTTGTACATTTGTTGCCATCATCATTCTCAAACCATTTGCTTTCT